TGTTTTGATAATATTTATTACGTAGATCTGCTAATTTTAACTTCAACTGAATATATTGTGAGAAAAAAACAGATGATGACAAATTTCGAAAAAAACAATAGGCGTTTTATTTAGAGATATAGGAGAAAATAGCTTTTTTTTTAAATAAAACGAATATCTGGACAATATTCTCAGATGATAAAAATACATGTTGTAAACATTATATGCTAATTTTTTTTATTATTATTATTTAAATAAAATGATATACATTATTATTATCTTTGTTTCACAAATAGTTCATAGTAACATCAGGTTTTCTTGTATTCATATTTACATTTGTTACTGGTCCACGAAACCAATATTTTGCTGATACAAAATAAGCAAATCCAGCAAATATTAATACACAACCAATACCAACTGATGCATAATTCATTGTAACAGCAGTAACTGGATAAACAGGTGGAAGAACAAAAAGAATAACAATTAGACAAACCCAAAGAACAGCAATTATATTAATAAATATTGAAAATTTTCCAAGATGAAATGAACCACGAAGAAATGTATTTGGATACAAAAGTTTACATATAATAGGTAAAATATATGATATATATAAAGAAATAGTTGAAAGACTTGTAATAGCTACATAAGCAGTTGTATTACCCAAATAAGGAAGAGACAAAATAAATGCAATAAAACATGATAACCATACAGCATTCAAAGGACATGATGATGCAGAATGAATTTTATGCCACCAACGAGAACCAGGCTGTAGTGAAAAAAAGAAATTTTTTTAAATTGCTTTCGGAATTAAGTTTACTAAAAAAAAGTTCGTTTCACAGATGTACTAATCAAATTATATACTCGAGTTTGTAGGATTCATAATCATTTAATCTCTCTTTTCTATCTAGTTAAACATTTTGATTTACAAATTGATAGATCTTTTAAAGTATAAATCAATTAATTACCATAGCATGATCTCGACTAAAAGCATAAATCATTCTTGAGTTTGCAGTTACTGATGAAAGACCACAAAACCAACATGCTATTAAAAGAAGACACATGAAAACTAAAGTTAATTCTTGATTGAAATTATCCAATAAAATCTGTGTAATTGGAAAACCAGTTGATGTTTTTATTGTATCTTCATAATTATGTATACCAAAACAGAATGCAATAAGAAAAAGCCAACCAATTAATGCTGAAACTAATACAGCACTAATCATTCCCCATGGGCTAGCTTTATCTGCTTGTTTTGTTTCTTCAGTCATATGAGCTGATGCATCATAACCAGAAAGAACATATTGCGCTTGTAAAAGACCAATTAATATCACATAAATCTTTAGAAGAAGACGAGAATAATCGTAGAGGAAAGAAAAAAAATCAATTTACTTTATTTGTCCATCCAGTTTCATTTTTAAATTC